TCCCTACAACTAACGATGGAGTACCTTTTGGGCATCGGAGTTTCGTGCTGTGCACTGCCATTGACTTGGTAAAACCTATCATCTCCCTCGTATCTGTTTGTACTGAGCTCAGTGCTAAAGCCATTCTTAGATTGGGTCCCTCCTTTGTGGATGTTTTTCTAGGCGGCACCATGGTGCAATTCAGTTGATTCCACCCAACCCTCAGAGTCCTCAAGAAATGCATGTCCGCCCGTACGTTTTGAATTTTTTCTCCTGCATACTATTAGCTGGCGAAATTCCTCCTCAGACGAAATCAAAAATCATCCAGTATATAAAAGCGGGGACAAGCACGACAACTACAGGTCACTAATTTCAAGTCCGTTCTCCATAACCAAGCCACTAGTGAGCAACCTTTGCGTTCTTATCGCAGTAGCTTTCTCCTTACGCTCCAGCTCGTGCCTTCTGGTTCACCGTTTCGCCTTAATGTTCGCTGAAACGAAATTAGTTGTTTATTCTATCTTCTCCAAACTCCGCGAGTCATTCGACACCGTCCAGCACGGGATAAGTGTGGATGATCGATACGTCTAGGCGGAGGGCACTATTTGCAGAACAATGTCACTTGCTAGTAAAACTCGTGCAAAATTATTGATGTAAATTTGCGTGCACTGTGGCTTTCTCTCAGTCTTGTGCCGACAAAAAGAATCGCTACGGGTTCGACTTTAAACCCACGTCCTCCATCACTTTAATTAGCACGTCCACATTATCTTCTCCCAGTCACGAGAATCTCCCAACTTGCAGACGACCTGTAACTGTGCTCTGAAGACCCACATTTTCTCCACGTATTAACTAATGTCTGCTCTCACTGGTTCCGGTGCAATCAGCTTCCACTCTAGTTCCACAAAGCCATACAAGTATTTTTTACCAAAAAGGCGGCATTTACCATTACCCGTTAATTATAACCTTAATAAAAAACGGTACAAATCGCTTGGAAACACATCAATTTTGAATTCTTATCACATTAAAATGTGCCCCTTGCCAATGCGCCTTAACCTTTGTCTTTTTCCTCTTCGGACCCGCGCAAATTTAGCACCATCTATCGCTCGTTTATGTGCTTTCCGAAACGCAGTAGAATGGTCTAACACCATGTATGGCAGACAATGAGAGTAGGTTTGAGAAAGTCCGTCGGAAGATCAGAAATAAATAGCTTAGTACATCCCCAGCAAATTTCCTGCCCTACTTATTGCCATTTAAGTGCCGCAGCCTGCGCGTGTCTTACTAAACGTATCAACCCTTCCAAACCCAATCTCAAAGCAATTTATAGTGCTCTCCTACAGCATCCAACCATATAGTCACTTGGATTGAAACTTCGTCCAGCAGGTTGCATTGTGGTAACCCAGAAATGTCTAATTAGTAACCATTTCATTTCATAATACTCCGTTATACTCCGTAATAACCCCTTCATTGTATCCTTTTCATTAGGTGATGGATAGAATTCTACCAACGCTGTTCTTCTCTGAAAGAGAATGTTTCCCCCATCGGCCTTCTAATAAACTAGATGCTATGCTATCTTGAGCTGTTAGACTAGCGCTTCCCGGTAATTTGATGCACACCCGTACTCTTTCTGAAAAATATAGATCACACAAAAGAAACATTCGCATTTGGTGGTATTCATCGAAGGTGACGGTCTTCGTAAAACTGGTTCAAACGTGCTAGCGTCCTATTATGGGCACAACATTCATATTTTTCATGACTACCACTAGTCAGCCAGAACCGCGTGTGAAGTGGTTAGAATATTTGTGGAGAAGGTCAATTCACGTTTCTTTTTTAGCGCTCTCGAGGATGCTTTGGGAATTGCTAGGCCACTCAACAAAATTGCCTGGGGAAAGACCCTTCCAACCTGATTGGCGGTTCACATTGATGGACGATATCCTCTGTAGTCTCTGTCGTCTGCCCCATAACCCCGCTTGTTACTAATGTCTGCGACACTGATAGCGATATGGAGGCTGCTGCTGTGATGAGTCTGCTAGGCTCTATGGAGAGAATCTGCAGGGACGTTCACTAGTTGAGTGCTCATGTGGCTCTGAAACCATTTTCACTAGCCATTGGTCTGTCCACACTTTCTCCGTTCTAAAAGCGATCAGACACGAGGGTATGTTACGACATGTACCTCAACCGGTCCACGGAATTCCAGCAGAGTTTGTCACGTAATGCTGTTGCATTTAAACAATTCTGTTCGAATCTCCAGCAGACAGACTGGGAAGTTACAGCCCAATTACTTACACAGAGGTTCTTGACTTCGCGACTTGCTGATGGGATGAAAACGATCTTGTTTTGTTCTACATTGATTGGGTGCCCCCATGTTGACGTCAGTCCCACACACCTCTCTGCTTCTACTTGATTTGGTGGTAGGGCTTGTGTGCCACTGTGACTCTGCATTCTGGTCAGAGCTTCGTTCCGAAGGTTCAACCATACACAAAGTGTCAATGGGTGGTAGGGAGACCGATAGCAACACACCACTTTGCATGTGTTTACTTGCAGAGAATTAACACCAGTGAAGCTCGATGCAGCTGTTAGATACAGTACCGGCTACGCGACCGCAAGTATTCTTTGCTCTGCGACGTGCATCGGTATATGTTTGAAGACGCCTGTGGTCTCTGAGCTATGATGATCTAGCCTCAACCATAAAGTAGGACTGCTCACACAACTGTGCATATACAGGTCGCCTTAGTTTCAACTTTCCTTGCATCCAATAATGCGTCTCTGAGTCTTGAAATCGACATATTAGCGTTTTTACCGATCCTACATTGAGCACCTGAGAGAGTAGCCCATATAGTCCCATGGCAACAATGTGTTTTATTGCTTTTGCCGGAGATACACTCTAGGTTTAAATGGCGATTAGTTTTCATTTCAAAATCATCACTGAGTAAAAGTATCTCCAAAAAATAAGGACGGAGTGACTACCCTTTAAGTTTCTCCCTGAGCCTCAAGTAAATTAAAACATGATCGGCCAGCGGTGGATTTGTACATTTCAGACGTGTGCCCGTGCAACAGACAACGTGTACAGTGCTGATTATGAGATACTATCATCAACCATTAAATTAGGTTATCATGAGTGGCTAATTTATTATAGTCGGCAGCGTGCATAGGGAAGTGCCCAACAGTTACTATAAGCAGACAATGTAAGCAACAGCGCGTGGAGATTTGATGATGATGATGATGATGATGATGATGGTGATGATGATGATGATGATGATGATGATGATGATGATGATGATGATGATGAGCAGACGCAATGCATATCCAGCGAGCATTTTTTTACTTCCTGACGAATCGACCTTACTGACGCTACCGGAATCGCCTTTACATTACAAGCTAGAAGAAGCTGTGGAAGTTATATCTGTGGATCGTTAAAATGTGCCACGATCAGGTTCAGTTCTTCATTGGGTGAAGGCGCAGTTACATGAAATCGGCGGTACCAGATGAACTCGAAGCCTTTCTCAGCTAAACAAACTGCAATAAGCAACATATCTTCAAAGCATACAATTGATAGAGAATAACTCCATGTAAATATCGTCAACTTTAAGACCTCATAACTCCGATGAAACCAATCTCGGTTTGCTTCCAGTGCTGGGCTCCATTTTCTATCTTGTATCATGTTATTACATAAAGTAGCACTCAAGGTAACCAGTGTTGAGGTCCATTTACCTGCGAGAATTAAGTTCTGCACTTATATCGGAATAACTGGACGCATTAGAAATCCAGAATTCACATCAGCGCAACAAGCAGCACGTATGTAGTCGAATCGGCGTATATGTAAAGCGAATTGAATATTAAAACAAGAGAATAATGAATAAAGCAATGAATACAGTATCAATCACTTTCATCACATTTCCTCCTTATGTCAGGCAGTATATAAATTTGAGTTCACATGGGCTGAATGTCGGCCCTTTGCTATCCACCTGCGTACGTCTGTTTTACCTATCGTTGAAACTGAACACCCCAATCGTGGCCTTGACGCGTTTATAAAAACGCACACTGTTATCGCACCCCTGGGTTCTGAAAGGCGATGCTTTCGAGCAGCGTAACTGGTGTTAGTGGTTCGCTCAATGAAGGGGTGTGTGATGGGTTCTCGCATTCGAATATTGAAGGCACCTCCCTCATATTTTCATTACGAGAGGAAGTTGGGTGTTTAACAAGGGCGCTGACGGTGCTTAGGGTAAGAAGCAATTCCTGTAATGTATTCCGGAAAGGATGCAGGGGTAAACTTAGTTCATATCGAATCAAGGCCCTCAAAACAAAGAAAAAAGTTCTACGACTTTTTGGTCATTACAGAGAAAGGATCCGGCAATGTTGAAGAAGCCACGAATAATCTGAAGAAGATCGGAGTTATGGTGATTGTTTTGGGGCCACGTGCTGACGTTGGACATCCAGCAGAACGTGAGTTACAGTTTAAACATTCAGTCGCACGTTGGACCTTTCACAGTGTCGGAAATACCGTGGTTTCCAAGATCTATCAAGGAACTAGACAAATTCGCCAACCGTATCCTGAATTACGGTGCCGAGTTGGACGCAGATCATCCAGTGGGTTCCTCTTAGCCCAATAACACATATCTGTCTAAAATTTAATTTTGTGCTTTTCTTCACTGCCTTTGATAATACTGTTCAAAAGCAATTCCTCTTGATTTGTTTGTGGTCAGAATGAAGGTTTTAGTTCCATTGGATTTGCTCGCAGAAGTTGACATTCATTGATAAATTGAATCGAGTGAAGCTTAGTTCCATTGGATGGATTTGCCCGCAGAAGTTTACATTCATTGATAAATTGAATCGAGTGAAGGCAGTATTTTAAGTTGCACCGTCTGTACATTCAGAGTTAACCACCCTTCCGTTTTCAGTCATTCCATCTTTTGCATAGCATATTGCCTGGAGGAGCTAATCAAAAAATTTGTGAACCGTGGTTGTTTTAGTATTCTGAGGAGAAAACGAACCATGTCTCATATGCCTAAGTTGATTAACTTCATATTTCAACTGTTTTGTTCTTAGGATCAACTAGTGTACCAACACCGTTCATCTACACCCGTTTTTTTTAGTTTGAGCGGTTTCGCAATATTTGACGGAGCAGTATGCGTGTATGTCATGTGACTGCCCCTCGGCTCTAAGTGGACCCTCTTGGATACTTTATCCTTCAAGCAATATTCATCATTTTACTGGAGCTCGACAGTGATTCTATTGAGAAAACAGGCTGAGTATGAGTCTGCATATATAGCTACCCTTTAGACCTAAACGCGTGCATGTGAACAAATTACCGCATGCCAAGATAGCGATCAACTGTAAGCAGTTTATGGAGTTATATTTACCTCCTTACAAATTGTCCGATCTTTCACTCTCCCAATACGATCCCACTAGTAGGTAACCAGACTACTTTGCTATATAATGATAGCAAAAACTACTCTTCAGGTGATCTTTTACGAACTCATATGTGCCCATTCGAATATGTAGCATCAAACAAAACCTACAAACTGAAATCAAATTGCTTCAAAGAAACACTAAGCTGTCATATACTTGTGGGGCTCTGTCGCTATTTATGAAACAAATACGCGTGTTAAGCTTGCTTTTGTTTATTCTCTTATGTATACCACATGTAACGAAGACGGTTATATATTCAGCAAACTATCTGAAAAAAGCAGCGCGCTATACTCCGCGAGAGATAGCGTGACTTGGCTGTCTGGAGAGGGAAGTTACAGTTACATGCAACAGGACTGTGGAGATAACGGGATGTCTCCCAAGATGACGGGTTATTTTCTGTTACTCAAACCACCGGTGAGGCCCTGCAATAAATTCAGACAAGGTGTTAAATATTTGACTTCAAAACTGAACATCTTGACCACTAGCGGAGGATTTAGTATGGCGAGGAAAGCATCCGAACCATGCTTTGATTAATATGCGGTTTTGAGTGCTCTTGCCATCAGAGGTAGTATCACGTTTAAGATATCTGCTCCTGGAAGGCCTTGAAACCAGTCCATATTGCGTTACACTTCTCATTCGTAGGCAGAAAATATTGAAAAACAAGACTTTTCACCTTTACAATAGCTTTTGAATCGAACTCTAAGTGGGAGGCCAAAGATGGGGTACTTCACACAATCAAGATTTTGCATTTTGCCCCTCTGTACACCCCACTGACAAGACTCTTCTGATTCTTCCGCCTGTCTGCCGACAAGCCATCACCCATTAGCTAGAATTATGCCCGCCATATTAAATAAAACTCTTGCTGAAATACGCTCACTTAAACGCCAATCTGGTTTTAACTGGTGACGTAACCGAATCTCGGGTGAGCTCATCGTCCACAATATTCTCAACTAAGTGCACAAAAGTCAACTCATTTGTAATTTGATGCAACATTTCACATAGAGCAGTGCTCCTTGAAGGTTGCCTTTGGAGGCATTCCAGCGACCTCATAAGCTGGAGATTTGAAGGCACCATACTGGAATGGATTCTATTTACTATTCCTTGGTTGGATAGATAAAATTATATTGGTGTAGCTTGAGACAAGATAAGTTGTTTATTTGTACCGTTCGCAAAAGATGGCTCCAAAGCTGAAATAGGTGGCTTTGTTGAAATGTCAAAAAGGCAGCTTTGGCATGAAGGACGTACGGATACCGTAACTTCTTCACTAAGGCTCAAGTTAGCTAAATGGTTTTTGGGAGAAACCAGTGTAGACGACCGGTTTGTGTTGATGCCAGCCATGGATTTAACAGAAATCAGTTATGCACAAACGTCTTTTGTATTAAGCCAATCCAGTCTTCCACAAAAAGGTCTCAAATCGTATTATCTAGGATCCAAACCGTAAAACTTTGCTATATTCATTTGAACCGTGTGGTAGATAACCACTGGTGAATGATTTAATATACGGCTTCTATCCATTTCAATTGCAAAAACCGGCTTCAATGATGACATTGTGTGGAATACGTATCAGTTTATGTTTCCAACTAGAATCAAGCTGAGTTGCTAAAAAAATCTCATGACTAGGAGGGCACAATGATGATGATGGAAAACTATGTGGCGATTGGAAGGATAAAAGAGACTAGGCGTGCTGCATTTGAAATCTCCCGTCCAGAGTTAGCTGCACATTTTAGAAGGTACTCGTTCTTGTGACGCGTTAGAACGCATAGCGGTGGGAATGTCTGGTAGCCTGATAGTGACAGCGGTGGTAGATAGCAAAGATCAGCTAAATGGAGAATGGTTTTTCATAACTATTTACTACCAGTCTCCCCAGGATAGCCCGATTAAATGAGTTAGAGGAGACATCTTCGACAAATTCCTAAAATTGACTCTTATCTTACCTCAGGGAAACGCCCTCTTGGAAGGCAGACCGGACACTCTAAATTGCCTTTCGACTAGCCACAGTAATCTTAATCTCTAGAAGGATTGCGCAAAGCCGTACGAAATGTCAACACTAGTTCTACAGCAGTAAAGAAAGCACAAAAATTAATTTATCGCCTAAGCATGATGAAACAAACGGACCAGACACCTTCCATTTTGCACTCTTTAATAAAAGCGGCGAGTTTCACGTAGCCAGTCTAACAAACTTAATTCACGAACGATGGAACGATGGCAGCACATCAACAGGGTGGGCATACTGACAGTATTTCCCATACTCACAAAGCGTGAAAGGAATTTGCTCAAAACCACCAAGCATTCACCTAGTGGCAACAGAGTTTAACATACTGTCTAGTAATGTCCTATATAAATTGGGCCGTCAGTTAAGCTATAAGTGAAAAAGTACGTTTTGCGAGAAAAAGGCTGAATTTCGTTTTTAATGTTTGTGTTGACCGAACGTTTATCTGCGCCACTCTCACTAAGAACAAACACCGATCGCCTTTCTTGATAGTAAACCTGTTTTCTAACCTGTCGACCATGAAATCCTCTAACATTGTCCAAGAACAAATTTATTTCATATTCTAGTCCCACAATAATTTTTGCGCTTTCTGCCACTGAAGCGTCCAAATCTAATTTATCCTTAGCTCATCAGACACAGTGATCTTGGACGTGGGTGCTTTCTTTTGGAAATCATTCCAACTTCACAGTCGACTTATTACTGTAATGTGCACTTTATATCTCCTGCTGTTAATAGACATTGGATGCACTAAACTGCTCGCTATTCTTGTACCAGACAACTTTGGAGCATAAATTTGTTTTAAAAACTTGTATGATTAAAATGAAACGTTTAGTGTTCGCCTCAAGCTTGCAAAGTATAGGATGTTACTTCGATGGCGAGTTGAAGCAAGCCTTGACCTCATGCTTACAGGTGAATCAACCAATATAGTACGTACGCTTTTCCACCTAGGCAGATCGGAAGGTCCAAATGGATGTGCAAGCTGCAATGTGAGGCCTGTTGCTCGTTTTGCGTCTGGAAACATCCATGAAGAGTTTGCACACCAGCAGTGCGTGCAGTGTTATTGAGGCCGAATGATTATTTATTGCTAGTCTTCACGTGGTTCTCTAGAATGAAAGGGGCTCAGCATTGGTTACCCAACAAAGCTGTTGCGCCAGCTGTTACAAAGAAGACTTTCAAAATGATGAGTGTTCGGGTGATCTGTTTAATAACGGCAATCTTCAGAAAAATGGGCCGAAGCTTAGTAGAGTGGAATTGCTCGCTTACAGTCTAAATATATGTTGTGCGACTATCTGTTCCAGCCCAAAAGGACCACCCTCCCTAGAGCTATCCATTTCTTTGTTTACTACTTCATGGAAAGAGTAGTTAATAAATTTTAGATCCGTTATTCAGTTTTGGGAACGCATGAACGAATAGTGCTTTTAACAGGTTAAATACGCGATAAGAACTAGTTGTTTACACCACACAGAAGTGATAACATGGAAAGGGTGGTCGATCTTGAGGGATGATCATCGTAGATGAGCTTCACTTTATGCGCATCCGTTCTAGTTGCCTTGTTGTGACCAAATGCCAACAATTACGGTTTACATCTTGCATGGTTTTCTTGGAAATTAGTGAAGCCAGTGTCACCTGAAACCAATCAGCTTTTCCTATAAATTAGTATTTTTAGTATCAGCCACGTAGGTCCGACTGCGAGCTTTTCTCACTTGAACCTCAAACTACTCTCATTGTGAAATCCTTTTGTTCTCCAGGGATTTAAGGATCCTGAATATCGTGCTCGTCGAAAACAGTGCGCGGATATTGCAATTAACTATCGCCAGTAAGTCTGTCAGTATGTCGTTGTACAAGGTGGGTTTTGACAAACCAAGTGACCCGATTAAACGACTATAATTTCTCAAGGCCCTATCGAAAGCTTGACGTCCACTGAATAAAAATTACAGTTCCTCTTCCAGGCCAAATTTACACGCAGATTCCTGATAAAAACTTTCTAGCCCGATGAGATCACGTGTTCTCTCGCTAGATGGCTCCTAGATAAATGAGTTCTATAACTTTCAGGACGTCTATTGAGAATAGTCGCGCCGAAAGATTGGGTGAACCGTCAAAACAGTTGTTGATATCAGTATTTTAGCGAACCTCCAGAAGCCACAAGTTTCACAGCAGGTTTGAAACATTCTTGGAACACTTTCCAGTCTATATTCATGCTGATCTCTTTGCAGTACACGTCTCACAAATGACTGCATAACGTTGGCATCAAATCTAGCCTCAAAGGAACTGGAAATGGGTTAACGCACTACCCTCATCACATGCTAACCCCGGTTGGATTAGCCGGAAACTTCACTACCCACGGAAGAACGAACCACATTCCAGTCTACATTCATGCTGATGTCTTTGCAGTACACCACGCCTTACAAATCGCTGCATAACTCTGGCATCAAATCTAGCCTCGAAGGAACTGGAAATGGGTTAACGCACTACCCTCATCACATGCTAACCCCGGTTGGATTAGCCGGAAACTTCACTACCCACGGAAGAACGAACCACATGACTTTAGCTAACATGACCACCACTCAGACAATCATCCCATCATTTCATCATTGGTTTCTCAAACACTAAACGCACACTGCAACGTACACACAAGTGACAAAAGTAGGATCAGTTGATCAGAATCAGTGATCCAGAATGCACTTCTCCCTCCTCAGAAGAACCCCAAACAGAAAACTGTCTTTATCTTGGAGATATCGCAAATTGGATTAGTCCTACAGGCAATCATTGAGCATCCACTGACTAAAAGTTGTAAAATAACCGCCTTCCACTGGTGATTTATGATTGTTGACGTGTATTTTCCGGTTTTTTGGCGAAGCAAAAAGAGTCGACCTCCCCCATGAAGTTCACCTACATAGTGAGAAAAAAGTGAACATAATTGACAGCCTTAAGTCCTTGAGTGAACATCTTGTTTATCCCTGTTTTTAACAGAAACAATAAGGGTACACTCCGAATTAGTATGGTAGAGAGACAGTAAAAAATCTGCGACATAACTGACAGCCTTAACTCCCTAAGTGGACATCTTGTTTATCCCTGCTTTTAACAGAACCAATAAGGATACACTCCGAATCAGTATGGTAGAGAGACAGTAAAAAATCTGTCCAGGATTAAAAGGACACGGTCAGCTTACGATGAGTTGCGCGAATTCAAATGGGACAAAAAACGAAGCATCTGAAGCGAGATTTGATAAGCGGCGCGGACCCACGATTAAAAGAACACGGTCAGCTTACGATGAGTTGCGCGAATTCAAATGGGACAAAAAACGAAGCATCTGAAGCGAGATTCGACAAGCGGCGCGGACATTGTCCAATAGCGAGCAACGTCAAACCATTTGGAGTAAAAGTCCACTGTGTTTTTTCACTGCGCAAGAACCGTCGTCATCCAATAGAAGGCGCTTGGACGTGGAAACAAACCAATAATGCACGTAGTGATGTAGCCCTATAGAAGCATGTGAAAAGTCAGCTTCCTTGTTGTTGCCAGGAGTGAGAACAATCCAGTAGGTTGAGCAAAAAGACAACTAACTAGCAACAAAAATCTTTTCAACTAACTTTAGGTCAGTCTTCACATTGCCGAGAATTTCAAGTGACCGGATGAGCTGACTTATACCGGGGAACAGGGCTTCGTAGGGAAAACACTGGTTAGTTATGTTTCAAATTTCCACTGATGTTATTTCTGAATGTCTCTTAATTTTGGAAGCCATTTTTAGAGAGCGGGAGAATTGTATACATGATTACCTGTGGTTTTGTAATAGGGGTGGCTAATAGAAACAGGTAGTTTCTATCATCAACCCAATGGAGCTATAATCTATCTTTAAAGTACTGAGTTAAACAGATTTGTAATTCATTCCAAATTCTGTTCTTGAGCCCTATTGTTGGATCCGAAAAAACCGCTTTTTTAAAGAGTTCACTAAACACTGGGAGGAATAGAGGTTCACGAAAAAACAAAACGCAAAATGTTGCGTCCATGAAACTAAATTACAAATAGAGAACAGAAGAAATACCCTTGTTTATTATATGTTCAAAGCTGTATAAAAGCTGGAACAATTGTACGAAGGTAGAAGGACACACGGACAAATCTCGTCGCTACGCCAAATTTCCTGTTCTACTCCGTAGAACAGAAGCCCCCATTTCAATATCCCCAGGAGAGAAACAAGGGCTGTAAGTGAACCTTCAGTTTGACCGTAATAAGGCAAAAGTTTTAGCTGAAAGGCTACAAGTCGCGAGGACAGAAGGATCAAGGATCAACCGCAGCAACCAGGGGCGCATGAAGATTGGTTTAAGTGTAGGAATACAGGCAGATTCATTAGAAAGTTCAGACAACTCCCCTGGCCAGTTCCCGAAACACCGCAACACCTTTGAGGTAGACGGCCTGGTCATATGAGTAGGTGGCCCGTACGTGAAGACAACACGTCAAGACATTGGTGCATTGTTATGTTTAGTCTTTGTTGATCAGGGGACTGATCGCCGAGTTTGACACTCCGTTTCCAGACTTTTTGTCGTCAGTCAGACGACATCCTCTTTGCGCAGTGACTGGTTTGCGAGCAAACCGTCAAGTTGGACGCAAAGTCCCTCAGCCAACTGACCAGCAACCAATGACCATCACCTTAGACTAGATAACTGAATAATTGTAGCATTTTTCTCCGTATAGCCTCGAATTTTGACAATACCTGATCAGCTGATCAATTTGAGACTGTCATCGCACGACCAGCCAATTTTTGGCATGGAACTACAAAATACAACCTCTTCAAAACCGAATTCTGCACTTCTTTTCTACACTTGTATCCTACAATAAATAGCTTGGTCTATGGTTTTTACTAACGAAACCACAATGGTTTTTCGGTGTGAAATTGCTGTGTTGAGTGATTTTGGAAGGAAATCCCAAAATCTTCTATGAAGTAAACTCCAAATCTTTCTAATCCCCTACAGGATAAAAGAAATCTGGTCAGTAAATCAAACATCCTGAGTCACGTGGTATCCTTTTGTGGGATATCCTCCCCAACAGTGATATTCAGTACTACATCGTATGATATGGCTTATGTGATTGATGAACCAGTAACTGTTTTGTTGCTCTGCTCTCTCTTGAGGTTGTGGATTTTCAACCGTACAATGAAGACGCAAGAGCTCTATAGTGCTGGGGGCTTCTCGAAATCGGCTGACATTTTGCGGTGTGAAATCCGATCTTACCACAACGTAGGTGCATCACTGTATGGGAAATAAAAGCAAACTTGTGTAGATAATTCACTTGAACCACCATAGACAAGTCATGTCTTTGAATGAGTCACGAAGACGTATGTTGGCGTTCGCTAACCCATCTAGTTCTTAAACAAGCGCTCAGAATTCACTGAAATTCCATTGGCTCCAACGTCGACAAAGGCCAGGGATCCCGTGATCCCCGTGCAACTGTTTGAAAATATCGTTTAATCCTAGAAAAACTAATGAAATCGATGTAGCAGTCAACCATTTACACGGCGACACATAGTCTCCATCTGTGAACGCTTTCACTAGTCTTCATTTGGAAGCCCAAAAACCTGGATTCCTATGCATTACCCATTCATAAACTATCAAACTGAGCTGGGGTCACAAGACTGAATACTTACAAAAGAATTCCAGAGTCGGTCACCGGAAAAACGGACGAGTGATTAAAACTATCTTATTATTGTCGTTTAACTCGAATGAAAAAGGGAGCATGTTTAGCCATGCTGCCTTTGTTCAGAAGAATCAAACCTCCTGGACCAAGGCGTTTTCTGTTAGCAATTCGAGAATGTGTCTTAGTCGAATCCCATACAAATGAAGTCAGTTTGCATTGCACCGAAAACATGAACAACGTTAACCTTTCTGTAGAAACAAGAGTAGAAAAGCCTTGATCCGGCCCGTGCAGGATGAAATGAAACCGTTTGCTGAAAGCTGTTTACATGTTTACCGGATGTCTTTTACAGCCACCCTCCGCATAGCTGTGCGAAATTTTTTCTATCACAAATAGAGAAGCGGTTCTCCAGAAGTGGGGAGTTCTCTTGAGAGTTTGGTGAAAATTCGACGACCTTGCAGATTTTCCTCCTTCCGTTTACCAGTTGTTTTTCCTATTACGGCTGATCTCACCGATCACATTGCTGCATTTGAATGCAGTTTCGACGACCCTACATAATTACCATCAATTTGAACAATACGGTTTACGGTCATGCATTGAGAACCAGTTTAAATCATCATGTTAGCCACACCCATGGTCACCCGCGACCAAATGACCCTGCCTCTATTAGCCATCTGTATGAACAATTAACACTTGAAACGAACAGGCTATTAACCCAGTGACAACTAACCAATTGATATATCAATTTAGAACCTCTCATTGCATCAAATATTGGAGATGTTATACAGTTTTTCAAATTTTTAGGTGCGTTGTGGAGTGTTCGAGGAGAACAAATTCCGCTTTTTCTGCGAAAGTTTCGCGGACTCAAAATATTCTTGATACTCTGTGGCAAGAGAGGCGTCTCATAGAAAAATGTTTTACTTCGCGAACAAACGGACAATTGTGACAGCTGAAAACCGTAGGTCAAGCGGTAATATTAACCGTAAATAAGAGCCATTTTGCGAATAAAAACAGATAGAGTGGTTTTTCCAAACCTGGCTAGTTTCTGTTGATTGCCGCTTTAATATTAACCGTGAGTTTGACTTAAATCATCTACCTAAATCTCTTGTTTACACTACATTCTTATAATACACACATATCAAATACATTTAACGCGTCTCCACCAAGAGACCAGGAGATGATGATGTCTCCTTATACCACTGAGGAATTTATCATAGACTTTTAGGACATGAACGGATACACAAGTTCACCATCGGCAGATCACCGTCTGCTGCCGCACCTTGAAACAAGGACTTCATCGTAAGTGGATAAATTGTTTGGGTCAGTGGAGTATTCGGACTTGTACAGAAGGCATTGGCGAATTTAACAGCAAGACAATCTCTTTTCTTTTCTGGTATATTCAGTTACTCACTGCTACCTGTTCACTAACTGTTTACAACATCGCTCAATAATATTCATACAACTACTCATGAAAATCTCCAGTAGGCCAAGTTTGGAGTAACCTGACGTGCAAGATTAAAGTGGCAAATGAGAACGGCAGGATCATAAGTTTTACAAATGACAAACTATTTGGAGTGATGTGTGACGGAGTTAAGTGCATGAACATCAAGACAACTGTTGATGATGGCCTGACCGTGCAAGTTATGGCTAGTGCTCTGTCACGTATCTGACGGCGACCATGAGGCGACTTTGCTGACGAGAAGTTTGTGAGCCAATCTCCAGGCCTGACCAACAGATTAACACTCACCGGACAAATGGACAACCACAGTGGAGCGAGCTTCTAATCGCACACAACTGTGGCTGATGGTATACCCTGCAGATCGGGAAGACATAAAGTTACTATGGGTTCTACGGCGTTTTGGTTTCAATTGTAAGCGACTTCGCTGTATTGTGGTTAAAAAATGTTGGCAGTGTTTCGCATTCTTGCATGAATATGCGCCTAGTAAGGTAAATTAAAAGAAAAAGTCACCAGGAATTCGTCAACACTGAACAGAGCATGATCTAAATTCGGAAGGCCTCACTGTAAGCTTTCGAACCTGGGCCCCGAGCAAGTTACTATGAGCTCTTTTTGGACGTTCATGAAATCGGTAATTACGTAACAACTAGGGGTTGGATAGCAAATACGGTATGAGGCCCAATAATTGAAATACACAAGAACGTGAGGAGCAAACAATGCGCTGGTAAAATTGGTGGGATTTATTTATATTTCCTGTTGTAAATTTCACCCTCCCACGATAAGAATATCATTTAATTCCCACTAAAACCGCTACAGAGGATTCGAAAAATACACCCATTATTATTTCAATTGGGTCTTTATAGAGTACACAACTGAATTCCGGGTGAATTTCTCGTTTGTGAATTCCCTCTTCCATGGAATAAATTTCGTCGAATTTCCTGAAGATGGAATCCAATTGGGATATAAGTTTGACGGAAACTCGTGGACTGCGCCTCCCTAATGATCCCAGATAGGAAGAGCGAAACCGGTGATTGGCTGACAAGATAGTCTCAATAATTTGACGGAACTCGTGGACTGCGCCTCCCTAATGATCCCAGATAGGAAGAGCGAAACCGGTGATTGGCTGACAAGATAGTCTCAATAACCTTATTAGTAGTGCATCCATTCACTACAGGGGGTGGTTAAACCTGAAATTGAGCTTTAATGTGCGAAAGTTAGGGCAACTAAAATGGAACCTTCACATCTCCACAAAACAACATAAACCCGGTTTAGAAAAAATTCTCTAGGCACGGTATGTTTCTACCTCACGCTTTCCCCAAGGATACGAAAGTCAAAGAACCGGAGAGCAAGTACTGTTTGGTTCCATAGATGACTGATTTACTGCATAAGAAGGAGCACCTTGTGCCTTATGCGGGTGATGCAGATGTATTAGTTGATTATCTAGGAATTATTTTATATTGGGGTATGGTGATCGCGAGTCAGATTTGCCGCCCAATGCTACTTGGACCGTCAGAAGCCCACGCATAGCAGAAGGACCACAGGCCATTTGCGGCTTAGCTGAATGTGGCGCTGCACTCAAGCACATGGAGAGAATGTGGAACAACTTTAATGCGATCGAAGGGTAAATGTGCCGAGGCCTTTTGCATGCCAAAACATGGTTTGACAATTCGCACCGGTACCCATAACCTACTTATCATCCGCAGCCTTTCGATCTCATTAGGTTTCAGCGCAATACCGCACCTTTTCCAGCATTACAGTATCCGGACGTTTCCCGTAACCGTCCAAACCACACCGTCAGCGCGGTAATGCTTAGTCAAGTGGTACTGCAGTACGTGAAAAATTAAACAACCTAAAGATGACTAATGGACCAGTCGGATCAGAGGAATAAAACTAATAAAAGTAGAATGTTATCCTATCACGCCACAAGGCAAAACGTAAACAGGCCAAACACGAGGGAGGAACTGTCGATCAGAAGGTAGTCAGTAATGCAACCAGATACAACCACAACAATACTCAGGTTTAAAATTAGCCAATCAAATTGCACGAAAGACACCTTGCAACGAAATTTACGCTGGAGCCAATAGGTACTGTTCAGAAACTGTATGAGTGTGGGTCGAAGAGGGGCTTACACACCCAAACGATGCTAACACAAATGATGACCAAACGCTTGCAACACAATCGTCAGGCTCGATGAACAAATCAACAACGAAGTTTATCCATCAGTTGTAGGTTCAGTGATCTTGTCTGCCTAAGGATGATAATATCACGTTAGTTCGTACTAGAAAAATTACAAGTGATTACACTAGCATGTGAATTGGTGAATCCTACTCAACAATGCACACCCACGCGTTGGACGAATTCGCACTAGGGAAACCCAGACCCGTGTGAATGGCTTGGTTAATCTGTGGTATTACGACGCATTGCTTCTCAAAGACTCACAAGCCGGTATGGATAGCCGTTTTAAAGGCCATTCCATCGAGTTCTGGATTCTCACAGGATCTAAAATGGAAGTTAAAACCCTTTAAGTTTACCTTAAGGCTGCCCTACTGGCGTAAATTCTGGTGTCTCAGATTTTGAACTCCATTTTTCAGCAGACCATATACAATTTTTCTGACGTTATGGACATATATATATATATATTTTGATCCTCTTCTCTATCCGACCGATTCCTCCTATCACACTACGAATTTTCTATTTCATATTGTTTCTCATATTGTGTTCCATCTTTCCAAGTGGTCAACCAATTCCCCACATCGAGTACACACCAGAAGAAATAGAAACTTGGGGCAAGATGTTTGACAAACTGACCGAGTTATATCCAACACACGCATGCCGCGAATACAATCATGTTTTTCCTCTGCTTGTGGAAAACTGTGGATACCGCCGGGACAACATTCCCCAACTTGATGTCGTCTCCGACTACTTGAAAAGTGAGTCGTATTTTTGAACGAAAAACGGTCACTTTAAGGAGCGTATTCCCATTAACTGCATCACATACACCCACAATTTCGTAAAAGTTCGCACTCCCAGTTTAAACAGCTGGACATTCTCTGGTGACCAGTGGCCAAATCTTTGTATCTCAATAGTAGCAGATAGCTACGTCAAATTTTCTGCATATCTGTTGTTTTTTGGTCGACAGCCTAAAACTGTCAGATTGATGTTCGTACTGATAGGTTGATCATTGCAGAATAATGTTCCGCTATTTGCATCATAGAATTGGCTTTAATCCATGATGATTCTAGCAACTTAGTTAGTATTAATTATATTAAACCATGTACTATTTCGTTACTCTGTTTTCCCTCTTTGTTACATGCAGGTTGCACTGGTTTTACTCTACGTCCAGTGGCTGGTCTCTTGTCGTCACGCGACTTCCTCGCAGGACTGGCTTTTCGCGTGTTTCATTCAACGCAGTACATCCGCCATTCTTCACTTCCCTTATACACTCCAGAGCCCGATGTGTGTCACGAATTAATGGGTCACGTTCCTTTGTTCGCCGACCAGGAATTTGCACAGTTCTCACAAGAAATAGGCCTTGCTTCACTGGGTGCTAGTGACGAAGATATTATAAAATTAGCGTCGGTAGGTTTAAATGTTGTCCAATGAGTGATCAGGGTTGCATACAAAAGTAGTCACACGATACACAAAGTGTCCAATCAAAATTCGTCGACTAAGTGATAGAAAAATTCAGGAATTTTTTTTGTTTGTTCTCTCAAATCTACTGCCGGTGACATTTCTTGGGCCAAATGGTAGGCGGGTTCCGCTTCATTCTGCAATTACTGCCATTCCATTTGTTAGTTTATCTTTTTTCACCTTCCGTTGTTGCCTTTGGTAGCACAAGAATTCTTAGGATCCACTAACGGGATGTTCTCTTAGAAATTCTAAATGGGCATACAACTGTACTGTAACCGGTGGGTTTTAGGTGTGTGCTAGATAATCTGTTTCCACTGAGCGCTGGCACAGCTTGCGTTTCTTCAAGGAAAAAACAAACCGACCTTCAAGCCTCTATCCTGAATAACAACTTCGGGATAATGGACAGCTATCCTACCTGTACGATTGGTCTTTTATTGGATCGTATGAGCGTGACCATTTATTCTTTTAAGGCTAATTAAGAGAAAGCTAAGTTAGGAAAAATATCTTACCATGACCTTGGGGGAGTAACTCTAAGCTTGTTCAAGAACGCTCTGAAATGGACTTCAGGAGGCTTGGTGGAATTAGAAATCTCACTGGTAGGACCATGCAACTCTCTTTCGAAAAAAAAACACTTTCACAGAGTAAAGAATGCCTTCTCAGGAGACATGCATCTTCGAGCACATCTTTTGTACACAGGCAGAAGAGAGGGCTCATGGTGGAGGTTTTTAACTTGCCAGTTCGATAAGTATCCGCAATCCAAAGACGCAAGCAGGTCGACCTATATTGTGTGCTTAAGTTTATTACTTGGTAAGCTAGTTGTCTTTGTGCCACCTTGCTAACTTTTGACGTGACTACGAAAGTAAACTGGATGTGAACTGCGTGTGGCACTTTGGATGTGTTCTTCTTTCTCTTAACGGACTAAGTCTTTCAGTTCTGGAGGCAGAAAGAGGCTCCTATTCGACTTCTTGAGATTGGGATTTTGTGGAAATAAGTCTGAGCCGAATGGCCTGCATGAGTGAGGTGTCACTTCTTGGTAAGTTTTCCTTTGGAAGACAGGAACCGCAAAGAGACAACGATTGTGAAGGCCTTATATAAAGCTGATTTGTACTCGACAAAGAGCTGACATTTCCACCTTTATCACAGAACTTATCTGGAGGATAAGATATTCGAAGCATCCGGGGTTTGCGACACTTCTTTGCTGTGGAATGTTTCATTACCAGGCTTGGCCTAATCGGCAGGACAGAACGGTTAGTCTTCGCAAACCATCTTTTTGAAGGTTGCTTACCTAATAATCTGTTGTTTTAAATTCGAAAGGGTGAAAATACTTTCTGCCTACATGCAGTGTGCCAAGTGGGTGGGAGCGCTTCAAAAGATTCCGCAAAACTGCCATTGCGGGATTTGCAAGAGGCACTACTTTATGTATGGAGTTTAGCTCATTTTATTTCCACCATTTGATTCTTGGTACATCTTCCATTATCATTCCCAAACCTCAAGATGAGGGCAGCGACGCTTGTGAGCTAATATCACCCAACTATTTCATCAACTATCGAGGTGTACTTGCACTCCGATGCCATCAGTAATCTACATTATGATAGCATTGATCATTTCCTTGCACCCCGAGTATCGCGCACTTATTGCGTGGTCCTAATCGATTGGCTTATTTCAGTGGTTACACCCGTATGCAGTAGATAGCTTGAATCGATCGTTCGACGACAGGGTTATCGAGGGCGAAGAGTGATTACTTCTGTCAACAGTATAAGCAGCACTATTTAATTTGAACGCTCCGGCTTTTTACAATGCCTTTTTCATAAAATGTTTGACACTTGGTATGATTCAAGCAATGTAAATGAAATATCTGTACTTAACAAATTTAGTGGGACTCTGATAAGCGAAAAAAGATGAAAACTTAAAATAGAATCCTGAATTCGGATTTGATTTAGAATATTCAGCCAGTGTTCGTGAGTAGCCGAGGGATCTGTTGGTTCTTTAATGAAGTCGCTTGGACCACTCAATTTATCGGCCACCGAAGGCACATCGATTCCAGCTACTACCTTTTCGGTTACCAGAAAATGAGAGGCCCTCGAAGATATAGTCAAGCATTGGGGACCACCGCATGATCGGTTAGTTTGAGTAGCCACTCGTCGAATGGGATAGCTTTGACGCCGAAGTCCGATTGACCACGTGACTGGGCCATGTCTGCCAGTGTCGTCAGCCATTGGTGAGTTGAGTCTCGGGGTCCTCATCCAGGAAGGCTGCAGTTGTCAATCCGACTGAGCTGAATGGTTTAGGTTTCTATACTTCTTTTCCATGTCATACACCGTCCACTGCTCGGTAACTTCTACTTGGCAAAAGGTTGGGCGAAAAGAGCTCTGCGTGGCATGGCATGCCATCCGATATTCCAACTAGTCAATGCTCCAGAGAAATCGGCGATCTGATGCTGGAAATTGTGGTATATTCCCTGCGCAGAGAGACCACTTTTCTTATTCATAAAGCAGTGTACAAGCTGCTCTTGACACGCTGTCTGAGTTTGGCAAATAACGAACTGATCTTCCGTGTTTGATAAGTAATTTCCTCTCCAGTTAGTCCATCGAAACTCGCAAAGCTTCCCTGATAAGCACATTTGTCTACCGCGTTGAATGGTTCATCTGAAAACATGATGTTTGAATTTGATCCCACCCAAACTTGCGGTGGCGTTTTGCACTTTGCAGGTATGGGGTACATTTCAAATCCTGCGACAGAATTACTTAGGCTATTAAAAGTGATTCGCATCTTTGAAGAATCCAAATTAAGGTGAGCCATTTGTCCACGTACTCAATGTCCATGAGCAAATGTCCCGGGACCTTTACGATCCCAAATTTTCCGAGGCAGGTAGAGGAGTTTTAAGCAGCAGACTAATAGCCAAAGTGAGGAGGAATGTCTCATATCGATGACGTGGTGAACCCAGGCGAGAACTCATATACTCGTATGCGCCTACAAAAACTGCTCACGGTGCCTTCGTGAGGGTCATAAGTTTAGAAGGAACACTTTTGATCGCCATATACCATCGAATTTTCTAAGATTGACAAGGTCAGAGCAACTTTCAGCTAAAAAAAATACGTCAGTGTGGAAAGTCTGGAAGTGTGGGTAAATATGCAGTCGATACACCCTTCGCCAGGGGGAAACCCAACTTGATTCATGTGAGCTTTTTTTCTCTGAAACAATCGATCGAACTGTGAGAAAAGTGTCGGAAAGTACTTTGGATGCAACGGCTGCCGGGCTAATGCTACAATAGTTTTTGCATGACATTCATGCACCGTTTGTGAAGACTAGAATCGATGTTGAGGCACTCACCCCAGTGGTATTGTGTCGGCTGACTACTCGCCAGGGTTTTATTTACTGCATTGAGGAGTTCAGGGAGCTAAACACCCGGGCAGGGTGTCTTGTCGCGTTACGGGAGTGATAACTCGCGCTGGTTTTTGTCGTTGACGGCGTGCTCGTATCAATGTTCAAACTTCTAGCCATTCAAGCCATTTGAGTTTTTCTGAAAATTGTGTTGAAGTAGGACCGATGAAGTGCTCCTTAAAGTACTCAGGCCATCGCTCAAGGTCAAGATTGTGCGAGTGAATTGTCGGCTCGTCCTTTTCGCATACTATTCTACTGCCTTATTCTGGTTGATGAATTGAATGAGCTGAAACAGAGCTATTGCTTACAGCGGAAGCCTTTTCGCTATCCTGGGTACTTGCCATTTTGCTGGATTCTTTCATTCTACAAACTCTTGATAATTCGGTGTTTGAGAAATCTGCGCGACCCATCATAGTCTCCAGTTGTCGATATACTTTATGTAGTGACAGTAAGATCTGCTGATTTCGACAATATTTAATTATCATTTGGTCCAGTCGGATGTTTTGGACAGAAAGATCTAAAAGGTGGAAACATAGCTTCTTTTAATCGTTTTCGTTTAGTCCCCAACCAGTCTTCATTATCAGTATGGCTGTGAGTTTCCAGTAGCATCCAGTCTCATAAGCTGGACACTTTTGTGCCATTAAAACTCGTTGAAATTGATGAATGGAGTTGCCCTGCATTGGCAAGCGTAATCCTGATTGAAAGCGATGTCATAACATCGCCCACACAATGACATGAAGGGAGTCGATTTGTGTAACTCCGAAAGGATGGCAATCTTTAAATCAGACTCCTTATCTGCAACTTATAGTCGCATGGTCCAAGTCCACGACTGTCTCGTATTTGGCGGCTTCCACATAACTCGATATGAACGTTTGAACCGGCCAGAATCGTAAAATAAGCAGCACGCAACTGGAGAATTCGCTGCCCATTATCCGTTCACTGAGCATCGACTCCAAACTGGCCGCCCAACTGTGACTCTTCCGGACTAAGTCGTCCAACTTGAGCATTCGTATCATCCGAAAGGATTACTATATCCGTCCATCTTGCCGACCGGAGCAGTCACGATAAACCTTGATAAAACTTGTCCTTCTCAATCTCATCAGCAGTCTGTCGGGGAGCACGCTGGTACGACAAACACCGTTTATCGCATCGATCCGCATTGAGCCGAACTACCAAATAGCGCAAAGAGGACATTTTTGCTGGGATCCTGTCCAGCAAAACACTTTCATCCTAGGAGCTAAGTGCAACTCCCATACCGTAGACATCAAGAGCCATCGCGTCAGAATTACCGTGCACCCGAGGAGCTAAACCTGAGCTTAACCTAAGTGGGTTGAGGTGCACCACCGAAATGGGGTCTCCTAAATGTGTTTCAAATCCAACATTTATCGACGGAAGAGGAAAGAAGTTTCAGCAAGAGATGGCTGTTGTACAGTCGACGCAGCGTACGAACATTGGAGGATGCATAGTGGATCAGATCTTCTGAGATTAGTGAGGGAATATTTGGGTTAATTTTGCTGGGCGGTAATTTAGCCACAGAAAAAAACCAGGGGACTAGCCGATAGATTTCCCGCCTTGCAACGTTCCGTGGGTAGGGAGGGGGATGAAGGAGAGCCGGTGAGCGAGGAGCTCCAAGCATAAGTAATGAGACTGGTTGTGATACCACACCTAGAACCTTTGACTCAAGCGTCTGACCCATAAGGCTTGGGGAAACTAAGGGGGTTTGCTCAGGAAAATTTCCAAAGTCTCCAACCACTAGGCAACGATTTTGAGATGTTTCTTGATGAACCCTTTGCGGAGCTAATACAAAACAATCTGACCCATTCTGTTGCAGGGTGTCCACGTGACCTAAGAATACATGAAGTGAGGCATCATTGCCTGACTCATAATGTGGCTGTACATAGCAGGTGCATTCTGAGCAGCAACAGGCTTTTCGGTTTTAAAAATATTTCGACCGTATTGCATAATGCGCCGGCGGTCATGGTCTACCGTTGGATGATCGGAAGGTGCAGTTTCTACGGCCAAACTTTCTGAATGAAAGCATCGCTGCATCCATACCGCCTGAAATAAACGAGTTACTTTCTTCACATTCTTAGTGAAATTTACCTCCAGAATGCCTCGTTATACAATTTCTCGCAGTTCGGGGACATACTGTTCTTCATTGGGCTGTCCCCGTTAATTTCCTGGCATGGCTCAACCTAAAGGAACTGTGGTCCAGCCAGTGAAGCCCGCATGATCATTGCAGCTCTGAAGCTTGACCACCACACGAGATAAGTAGCTTTAGTCCGGAAAACTTGAATAGTCCATCTTTCGCTACATTGAGTACACACTAAAAGGAGAAGAAAATTCGAATTTTCTCCCACATATTTCAATGCAAAAGGTGATATTATTTGCCCAGTTAGTATTGTAGCTGTGAACTCATTTGTGGAAGTGTTCTACCGTTTAGTGCACAAATATAGCCTTTTCAATAACTCTCTCAAGGGCCCTACGTCTTGATTTTCCTTATATATATACCGTGGGAATCTCAGGGGTGTGAATCTTCGCTATGGTGTTTTTTGGAAGACGTCATCAAACCTGCTAGCTCAACCTTCTTTGCATGGTCGGTCTTTCGAGCTTTGAGACCGCTCTGTTTCCTGACAGATTGTTTCCTTATTTCTAACTACTCTTATTTCACGGGTAGACTCACCGTAAAGTTTGCCTTACTGATTGGTGCGGTAATTGCGTTCTTGTTTTAGTGCTACTGGTTTACCGTGGAATTCGGAATATGTAAGGAGGCCGGAGGACTTCGAGCTTATGGTGCTGGGTTGCTAAGCTCCTATGGAGAACTGAAGGTATCTGATCCGTTTGAAGTTCATCCATGTTATGTGACCTTGATCGGTGCATTTCATTGTTATGCAGGAGATCAATCCTTATTCACGCGTCCCCTTTCCCATTGTTGCACCACCAAGAGATACTATGTTCATTTGAATGAAAATGTACCTCTCGGTGTAGATCACTTCACACAAGTGGACATTTTCCCCGTTTTTTAAGGGAAACGTTTCAGAAAGGCGTAACTCTTTCGCAGACAAAACACTGATTCCAGGTAACCGAAGTCCATCTAGGACTTCCCAGCACAGAACTGTGCTTTTTATTTTGCTGAACTCCACGCTATAATTTGGTTTCTCATAATCCCATAATTTCTAATTTAGTAGGCGAAATCCTGAGTTAACGAACATTGCGTACTGTCGCTTCCATTTGTAACGACGATCAGAGATAAAATCCTGTTTTCCAGCGAAGAGTTTTCGTCCTTCTTAAATTTCTGAAATGTCAGGCTCCACGAACAACAAATCGCCTGTGCGGCTTAATTATGCAGCAAGAAACTATGGAATTTCTTCTCTGTGAAATTCGGAAGTTATTTTACCGTCAGGAAACAAATTTTATCAACGCGATCACTGCAGAAGCATCTGGGAAGAAGCATTCAGCTGCTTTTGTTATCCATCCGTTTGGCTACAGGCAGTTGTGGGATTCCCGGAATGTGTTGTTGCCTCGCTGTTACTAGAAAAGTCTTTCCTGTGTACTGGTGCAGCTTCTCTACTTGGTTCATAAATGCGAGGCCACTTATTGTATTCCAACTGTGGCTAAGTGGGAATGCGATTCACTGACCATTAAGGAATGCGAGCCGCTAGGCCCACCAATCGCAGTGCTCACACATGTGATTTTAGACCACATAACTTAGCCAAGTCCAGCTTGTGCTATTTCTCCCAATTTTATTACTATGCAGGTATGGTCTTACTCATACCAATAGATCTATACTGTTGTTCACAGCTGAAACACTTGGGAATGTGCTATGTTCGTGATAGAAAAATGACGAGGATTGTACATTTCAAAGCCAAGGAAGCTATAACGGACCTTTTTCAATGGGTGAAAGGACGAAAAGTCCAGCAAATGCACGGTGAATCATCGCGATTGGTTTTACTTTGTTATTCTGTGGTTGTATCTGTGGTTACATCACAGATGCCTGTCCCCTGGATCTGTAGACTCTACATCAGAAGTAGAAGTGTGATCCTTCCAAACTAAACTAGGTTTATTCAATCGGATCTTGAGGATTGCTGTCGTCAATACGCCTTTTCTGTCCACTGCCCGGGATCCTTTTATCCAGAAGCCATTTTGAGGTACTCAATTATTTGAGCAGCTGTCAAGAAATAAACCTTAATCGTTCGGGTTTCATTATTGCCTGGACTGTACGGGAACTCATTTTGAAAGGGTTGGTGACTAGTCGAAACGGTTCCGTCCAGCAGAAAAACAGCCTCAACTTGGTCTGGCGTCTCAGTCGCAGGTAAAAGGAAGTCATCTGTGGTAATCGTTTTAAAGTCAAACTTCAGTCATTTGCAAGCAGTCTTCTTGAAACCGATCAGCCAGATATGCTGATTTAAAATAGAGTCCAGTTACACCCGAGAAGTCCAAAAAGGGCACCTTTTGCATCATTCTTCCATCCAAATTTGGTCTGGCTACATAATACATCCTGGATTCACAAGCCGCGTTAATAAGTACTTAGCCGATTCCCATTAAACGCAACGATGGGTTGTCGGTTCACGCTGAAAGCATGCTAGCACACTGTTTCGCTCGCCGTTGCGTAGCAGAAGACTTGAAAACAAGACAGCTGTCCAGGCAAATAGCAGAGCGTAGGCCTTTCCGGAAGTATGTCTCATTGGCATTGGATCAATTCGCCGAGCTTCGCAACTAGCTTACTTGACTGGTCTGTAACCAAAATCCCATCTTGACTAACAGCCGGACCGATGGTGGGTTACTCGGCTGATTGGACTCAATCAATCTTAACACTGCTTTTAAGATGCTGTGCTAAGCACTGATATGTCTACCGGGATCTGTTCAGCAAGATGCTGTGCTAAGCACTGATAGGTCTACCGGGATCTGTTCAGCGACAGCAGCCGTTGCTGAGACGCTTGCAATTCGATCACACAATCCAAGTTTGTGCAGTCAATCGGCCTTACGTGTAATGGAACTTCCATTATATGACCATGTGACCGACGTTTACAACAAACCAATATATCATGACATAAACAATGTTTAAGCTTTTACTCGCAAACTCTAATTTACCCCTATTTTGCTCATCTCTATTGTGTACTGAAGGTTTTATAAACTCATCATTTTTATTCGTATATTTGTGTGCTGTATTTACTAGTGATACACAACCCACTTTTCCTAAACTTAGCAACTATCAGCTTCATGCACAACTCGCTTGAGATGGTTCCACTAAAGGTTAACTTCTTCCGCACGGTCACTTTTGGAGAAGAGTCAGTCAAATCCACTAATCTAACACGTACAAGTGTAACGTTACAACTGCAAGCATTTATACACAATGCTACGCCTACGCTTATTAGACTAAGCCTGTAAAAATGCCAATATTACGAATAGCAATCACTTTTCCAAAGAACTTAAATAGAATTTAACAATGCCTTGCTCACTATGAATATCTCTTCTGTGATTTATGCATAACAATGAGTACCGTGATACACGCAGCCATTTGTGAAACCGCAGGTTTTTACTAACTTACTGGCGTCATTTGATGAAAATACAACACGGTTTTCTTCTGCAGTACTGCCTTTCGGATGAGCCTACACGCGTCCCATTTGAACCGACCGAAGCCGCCTCTCAGTCCTACCCGATCACCGAATATCAACCAAAGTATTTTGTGGCGGAGAATTTCGCAAGTGCAAAAGCAAAATTCAGGTTGGTGCAAAAACAGAAATTCTAAATTTGTAGTGATTGTACGCGAGTCGGTCACGCTTTGTTGTCTGAACCTCTGCTCATATTTTTGGAGGCTTTTTGTTGGCTCAGTTTATATGGATGGCTACTGATACACTTGATAACCTGGGCAAACTTTGTGTAAACAAATTTTTTGCAAGCTGAATTAGCAGCATCAGTTCGCAATAGATTAACTTCACACCGACCTGGTACTGCTCTACGACGCGTCAGTGATCGCACTAGATTGCTGACAAGACTTACGCAACAAAAATGGCTTGGTAGACAGATGGTCATCAACTTTGACGACATTACTCAGAGTTACAGTATGAAACAGGATAGTCAAGGACTTGGCCCATCTGATAATCCCGAAAGTGGATGAAGCTGGTCGTGAACTGCAGAAAAGTTTTCAGCAAACTTACGAGTGGTGTGTTCACTCAAGAAAGTTCAGGACTAATTTTGCTTTGTGATTAGTCTTTATTCACAAAAACCTTCTACGACTGTATAAGTCTGCGTACCACAAGAACCTGGTGCCTCAATGTTAACGGAACTGAATGAGGCTGGTAGAGTGACGCAGCATGTGCGTCACCGGTTTCCATCCTTTGCTAACTCTACGATTGTTTCCAGCTACATGCATTCCTTGTCTTTCGGTACCCAATGATGCTTGGAGCAAATTTTCTGGTCTGCAGTTGCGTTCACCTATTGCTTGCAGATCTCTGAGATTTTGAGTCACCCTCAGGACACTAGAAACAAGCCCAAGACGGTTGGTCCTCTGATCACCTGGTTCTTCGGATTAGTGCCGGACATCCTGACTGCTTGAAGTCTGTCGACCTGCGGGGATCGTTCTGTTGAGAACTAGTGTTATACGGGAACCCGGTGGAGGTTTCTAGAGGCTGGTCGTTTTGGGTCTATTTCGGAAGATTTTCAGAGGACAGCCACCCCCTTGAACTTATAAAATCCCGTGTTGCGTTCTGAAATGGAGCGAAATGCTAATAAGCCCACCTCAAACAAAGAAAGACAATCATCGCATCTTTAGCTCCAATCACTAACGGCCAGTTTTTAGGCGTAATTTCAAACAAGAAGACGACCGTTCGAATGAGGGTGGTGTGACTATGAAAAAATTCCTACCCCACCAAACCCAAAAAAACTGCAACCAAAAAGTTGCCCAGTTGGTTTCAAGCTACCGGATTATCCCGAAAACCCAAAAAAACTGAAACCAAAAAGTCGCCCAGTTGGTTTCAAGCTACCTGACTGACGATGAGTCGGGCACACCAATCACATCGCTCAAGCGTGAACACGTTCGCCTGTTCAGATGTGAAAATTCAGACCCATCCAACGTGTGTTGGTGGAGTAGTGGTTACACGCTCGCCTCGCATGTCAGATGTCAGGGGTTCAAATCCCGGCACGCTCATTGGATATGCACTGCTGATGAGATCCAATAAGAGCGAGACTCGAGTCCAGTGCTTCCCTTTGGTGTGAACTCACCGGAACAATTACTCCCGGACAGGAGGACGAGAATGGTGTGACTATGAACAGAATTTTAAATAAGTTCTGAGGAACGGGAAGTTTTCTGTTTCCTCAATACACTCAATGCCTCAAAGGACCCAGGAAAGTAAAAAGCCTGTTCAGTTGCTCTCACACAGCCAACTTGTACAGTACACACAATTTTAGAAAAGTGTGTATCTCGATTGATCTGATTGGACTGATCTGACAGCTAAATATTCTGAGGCGATCGGTGAGTATTTTGCTGACCAGTTACACCAATCTAAAAATTGGAAAGTTAGAGTCATGCCCAAAAACTACATTTCTAGTAAACTAAAGGATTCATCGTTAAGAAAAGCGATCTGTACATCGGTTGTGGTTATTCTCCCCAGTATCAACAAATGACATTCACCTCGTTACAAAATATCAACCTAAGCTAGGTTGTTGTGATTAAAGCGCAACTCACGAGGTCAATGAAAACTATGGGCATTTTGCTGTTGCGTCCGCCACTCTTACAGAGAACCTGAGCCCACATATTTTATCACAAGAACTCTTTCATGAATTCATTTGGTGTCACCTGAAATCCATCCATCATCTTTTTTTATAATGCTCTCTAATCAAGTTTGCTGCTCACAGCCTGTCTAGTGTTTCGACTGGACCACTGAGCCCTTAGAATGACTGTGCAGAGTCCTCACCAACCTCATGGGAGGTATTTAGGACAACCGTCCATTCGAACGATGCAAAAGGCAGTACATTCCGTTGTGATATGTCTGAAAAGGATGATGCCGGTGGAGTTACTTAGGTCCCTTCAAGACAGACTACCGTGATTCCCTTCCTTTTATCTCAGATCGTCGACTGTTCGATGTGAATTTCCGTCAACGTCAGGCGTAGTCTTCTGTCAACTTAAAGCTTAGGCATGAGTCTCAAATGACAGCTATCCATTTCTTTGTACGTCACAGATGTAGGGATAGAAGAACTTATTTCTAAGTATGACTCACTCTCTAGTCCCAATCTACGAAGGAACTAAGCTTCCACTTCGTCTACTTCCGATTTGGCATGGGCTTTAGGCACTTTCGCTGTGCTATGTGTAGTAAAAACCGTTCCTGGTACTTGTTTTCCTTTTTGCCATATCCGAAGAAATGCGTCCAATAGTTAATCACATGTCGGAAAGACCAAGGCAAGTTTAAAGCACAAAAGAAATTGTGCTGCACGCACAATGCGCATCTGTGTACGCTAATTGCGAGTTGAGAAGCAAAACAGCGAAACCAAGTGTTCCTGAACACGTGACCCTCACAACATGGTCGAATCTGATTACATGACCGGTGCCGATTAGATTCGCCGAGGCAGCGTTCTGGGAGGTTGACTCTCCTGACCTATTCTACTCCACAAGGCTGGACAGTTTGCTCCTTTGCCTTCTACTCAGTATCCGATTGTAATACAAAAAATGCTTTGGGCAAACAACCAGGTGACTACGTAAAATAAGTGGGGGAATATGCAGTTCAGGCAGACACTAGACTCAATTTTGCGTGCAGTTGCAGCTTAGCTTATTGATTGCAACGGTTCATTTGACCAGCAGTGAGTCTGCGATCAAAACTTTGCTTGGGATTTCAGTTTCATTTACTGCCCCGAGGACTAACCGAAGAGGACTATTTTCATTCTGGTCTGCTGCCTTTCATCGGTTTGGATACACCCTCCGCCATCCAATTATAATTATCTACCCATCATGTCGGACAAATTTCGAAATCAATGCTTTGTCGCACTTCTTGTATTGGGTTATGACTGAAAAATAATCCACTATCAGTCCGGTCTGACCATTTCAGTTTATTTTCTGCTCATTACCGAGATAGTGTAAAGTAAACTGCTTTCCTTCCTTTTTGAACCAAGTGATATGGAAGGACTCCTCGAAATCCGCAGACAGCCTGACAGAAAAGTTGTTGAAGTCACGGGCTGATTTTGCCAGCTTCAGGGGAATACGCCAACACCATGAGCACAAAACAAAGTGAAACTAGTGGTGAGCGGTCTGCGGATTTTGTGCAACTCACTTCTGTCACTTAATTTAAGATGGAAAAGCATTTGTTTCGTAGAATCGCGATGACAAACAACAGATCAACTTCCAGTAACTTCTTCTTGCGTATAGACTGTAAAACAAGTTCTTTTCCACTATCCGTCCAAGCTGTAAAAGACTTGAGTGGCGTTCCTAACTATTTCAGATAAACAGTAGTTTTTCTCTCACCTTCAGGACATCCATCCAGTGAGGTAAACTTATGATAGAAAACCGTGCATTCAACCTGAATGGGCATCATTAGTAGAGCATCGTGAAACGTCAGTGTGGCTCATGGTCTCCAATCCTTTCAAGCTGGGCCTTAATAACTATTCGAGCCACATCTGCAGCAAAATAATTTATGGGTACGTATGAAAATATAAGGAGTCAAGAAGTCAGGGCTCACTTCGGTTTTCATAAATTGAACATCCTATGGAGTGTAGCGGGCCGACGAAATCGACAAAAATGGCATACCGTACAGCGTACATTTAACAAAGGTTTACTACACACGTCTCATTTTTAAATGAGGTTGTGCTCTGTTTCTCAGATGGAGTGCGTTTTCTTCATTCTATTCAATATATTCGCTTGTCTCAGAATAATCTAATTTAGAGATAAAGAGGGACAATCCATGTATCAAATGGAATAGGATCTGATTACAACTTTTTGACTACTTAAAAATATGCTCAAAAATTTCACCTTCAGGAACTTTGCCCAATCAATCAAAAGACCGTTCTCCGTACGTTACGACCCGTACACCCAATCCGTTGAGGTGGTCAATTCTATTCAAAACGTTCAGAAAATTGTCAAGAATCTGCAGGCGGAGATCTCCGTCGTGCAGGAGGCATTAAGCAAACTGCAAGTGGATCGTTTTTGAAGCTCACCTCTCTCTCGATTTCTGCGAAATTAACACCAATTCTAATGTCCGATTAGGTTTTTCTTTATGATGTGATTTGACGTTGCTGATTTCATAATTTTGTAATCTCAGAACTTGCTTACTGTTAGCCAAACAGCAATTTGAATAAAACTTATAAAACCGTTTTTCTTTTATTTGTGCCTGTGCCGTTGGCAAATTCTACAGGTGTCTCTATTCGAATCCTGAGAGCTAGGAACCTTTTCACGCGGGGCACAAGACAATCTGCACAGAAAGTTTCAAAATTTAGTGTCCTGTACTACCTGTAGGCTTGCTGTGGCCGTAAGTTCAACTTTCTTGAATGAAATCAGATCAATTGTGGCCGAAACAGAGACTATAGTCAACGAAACACATTTGGTGGGCTTTGATTACTGAATATCTTTCATAACAGCTTGATCTTCTATCCGAGACAGCCGGACGACCAAACCACTATCACAAAGGTTGATAGAGCAAACGGGATGAGTCGTTAGTGAGTAGTTTGGTCGCAGCTGACGACATGGTGCGATGACTAATGAGACTGACGCACACGAAATCAACTGGGATTATTCGAGCCCATATGAACCACAGACGATTTCCTCCAAATTTTCCGTAGTTATCAGACTTAACGTGACTAAATGCAAGAGTACGAAGTTCTAATAGAGAGTAAACTACTTGAGATGTTGGCACACCTTGTCTTGTGTGACGTGAGCTGACGGAAAATTACTCGGACAATTTCCATGGAAAAGTCCAAAATTAACATACAGAGCAAAGGCTTTGTTTTCCGTTTGTTATATGAGCTTTGCAGCTAGGTTGAATTTCGTAGCCTGAGCAACTGAGTTGGTGCGCACTATAAAAGTTAAACACCAAATTCATATTAGGAATTCATATTAGTGGGAGAGACAAGGTAGCAAACTTCCATATCGAAACCTGCACGTTCAGTAATCTGAATTTCAAAAGTACTCCGTCCAACCAATCAGGTTTTCACGAATCATGCCGGTCTTGAAAGTGTTGCTCAAGGCTATACCTACTTTAAAAGTGGAAATGTATCTTAAGTGAAGTGCACGAATTCGTCAGTATCAGGCCATGCAGCTTTAGAAACTAATGATAGGCAACAGCTGTCAACGTAATCAATGCATCCAGTGACGTAAATACCGACTGAACCACAATCTCTCCATACTACCTGACGTATCTCAGTAGTCAAAAAAAACAAGCAACTGAAAAATACGAAATTATTTGCTCAAAAATAAAAAGTTTGTAGAGTAAGCAGCAACGTAAATATGTGGGAAGTTACTGTGTTACGTTCAGAAAAGTTACAAAAGTCTCCGCGACAGTAACAAATAGTTCGTCTCATCCCCGCACCTCCAGCAGAACGAAAGCACCCGACTCCCATCCCGGAAGGGACAACCGCACAGGTTCGTGTGACCACAACAGCAGAAAGTACTGGGTAACCTATCTGAGCCTTCACACGATAGCTTTTAGTGACAATCTTGGCACATCCATCATAGTTCACGTTTGGACATTCACCGTAATCGTGTGAACCTATCAAAGCCCTTATCCGTGAACGATTCACACGTTCGGTACATAAACGGGCTGCTTGAGTCGCAGTCAACCCGTTCTGATTGGTTCCCGCACTTCCTGATTCGGACCAGCCTCCAGCGATTGGTTTTCCACCAAGCCACGCTAGTCCAGAAGCCGCACTGATGCTCGCACCCGGTTCAACACTTGCATAATTGTCACATATATAACAACGTGTAGGTGTGCTTGGTGAGTGGTTGTTGTGTACTGAACCTGTCCAGCTGACTTGCAGGATACCGAACAACAACGAGCAGCATGCAGCGATTGCTATCACACTCAGCGCATACGGCGTCAAGTTGATCTCCTCTTCTGAGTGAACCATTCGGGGCTAAAACAGGGCAAGTGGAACAAATTATGATGATCTGATGACACGTATTGGACCAAATTCTTAAGGTGCTTGGAAAAGCTAAAACTAATCACACTGAATGAAATCTACCTGCATAGGAAACGCGATTTAATTAATCTAGCTAGACTATTAGAAGCTACTGAGATGGAACAAGTTTGGTACATAAGTAGGAATAAGACTACCAATAATGAGCAATGGCCTTTCGTCTAAGATGATGGTCATGATCGACGAAAGTGAATCTTCATGGGGTTCCTGTTTGACTGAATGTGCTACAAAGTAGACGCTTCATTTTTCACTAACATCAGTTCAAAAAGCAGCACTCTCTAAGTTTTAATCAACCTCGGGGGTATCTTGTGAATAAGTTATCGTCTTTGTTTTTTGTACGGTATTCAGAAATGTTTCCCCACATCCTCGGGTAATACAGCACTGAAGCATCAGAGTCAACAGTGATGTTACCATCTTTGGTGATGATGGTGGTCCTCGGGATAGCTTTGAAGGCAACCAGACAAAAGACCGCCCGGTCCAATCCACTGTGCACTCTCTCAAATATCTGGCTTTAAGATCTCTTGAGATCCGGGCGTTTGTCGATTTAGTCACAAGTCCTGCCAGTGTCAGGTAGATTACCGACAGGTTTAATGATGGACATACAGACCATGATGCTTCGTGATCGCAGTTACATGAGATCAGTACAATATTGCCTCGCCATAGAATCATTACACCAAAGATGCCTAGAGCTGGCGATCACACCAGCCGCCATTGTTCGCTAATATTGTCTCATCAAAGTTTAGGAATGTAAGGGCTCTGTGTACAGAAAAGGCTGATCGGACAGGAGCCCAAATTGAGTTAAAGAACAAACTTCGGCGCAGTGGATATCCAGCCAGCTTGATTAGGCATCAATTGCGGAGGGTGTTAGTACCGGTAGCGAAACCCAACAGGGAATGGATCGGGACAGCTGTTATTTCATATAAACCAGGAACATCGGAGGTAATTCGAAGAATTGTAAACACGGCTAACATAAGAGCAGCTTTCCAGAGGGCGAAAACTGGTGCAATTGAAGGATGGCCTCCCGACAAACAGAACCAGGGACTGTGTCAATATAACGAAGTGTAGTGACTGCAACAAGGTCTATATAGGACAGACGGCCAAGGAACTGCACATCAGATTCGGAGAGCCTAGTAGAAAAATAAACCGGCAGCCGAGAAACGCAGATGAATGTCAAGTGTTACTGAAAGACTCGGCTATTGCGGAACGCTAACTCGACACGAGACACAAAATATATTTAGAAAATGTTGAGGTTTTGAAGTGAGGACTACGGTTCACGTCACACAGACTGATCGCCGAGGCGGTAGAAATCGCCAAGCATCCCAGTGTTAACAGAATGGAAGGTGTGGAACTGGCAAGCGTGTGGAGGACGGTTCTGAATCAGTCGAGCTGACACGTGTTGGTGTGCGGTCATCGGAAGGAAGAGTGGCCATCATCTGAATTCCACTTGACCTCAGCCCCCCCCCNAGATTTTGACAACTTCACTAACCGACAGGAACCGTTAATTGACACTCAATACTGATCTTGTGTGATAATCTGAAAAGGACTGACTTACTGATTGGTTCCCCATCTGCCTTATAACCTGACCAATTTGGTGACCTGCTCACTTGGCCTGATGAAGCTTTTGTGTCAAAAGCAAAACGTCGCCCAAATAAAACCTACCGATTGTTTATCAAGTTCTTCTGGAACGAAGCACGACATGTGCTTTACAGCGACTTGACTGGCTTTTCCAGTTACGGATAATCCTACAGAAACCTGATGTCGGTGAACTTTTCTGGAAAGTTGTCCATCTTTCAGAAGTGCTATTGGAGATTAGTATGCATTTGTCGTCACTAGTGAACTGTGGAAGTGAAATGACGAATAACTGCAACTGTCTATCAAGTCTGTTAATAGCGCTCGAAGCATGAGGGAGTTCAATGCATGCCGTGCAGCCATTAGTAGGATCTGACAGCCAAAGAATTATGACTGATTTCCTACCTGAAACTTAACTTACTCGGTAAAACGCTTGTCTTCGGAGCAGCTAGAGGAAGAAAGAAGGAGAGCTGGAGAAAGCTTGACTGCCGTTCAGGAAAGGATTAGGCAGTAAACAGCAAGTAGAAAGGCACGAACATTCCCAATAGGCACGAAGGTCAAGTGGAAGGATCACCAGAATTCTGGAAGCAATGGACTGAGGTCACGGAAGCTAGGTAGTCGATAGCAAAGGCCGTTTGTCTTTACCGACCGCCGGGTGAACGTCTATACATTTCAAGATTGTCAGGGATTGAAAAGAGTGAATGGGACGCAGCTTTGTAAGTGGCATGATACACCCAAAGAGTGGCCGAGTAGACCCGCTCCCGAAGCCGACTTGACGGAGGCAAATGAAAATCGATGGCATGCGAACGACCTTTAAAGAAAGG